TCTTGGTGGGAACCCACCAAACAGGACTTTTCCCAACGGGAACCCAAAGGGCTCAAAATGACCAGGTCTTCCAGCGTGGCAACTACGCTCAGACTCGCCGGAAGTGAGTCAAATGGAACATTTGTTGTCAAACAGGGCAAGTGCTTCTCAGCTGTACATGCGCTACTTTGGACCTGATTTACCAATGACATGAATTACCCGCCGTATTCAGGCAGGCTGGAGGGGAAACAGTGGAGCCACGCTACTCCCAGAATCTCCCAGCATCTCCTCAAACCTACTAGGCTGCAAAGTCTCGATATCCATTCCCCTGGACCGAGCCTCCTTGGGGCCCTTTAAAAGGGACCCACAAAAACACTGGGGCCCCCTGGTCGATTGAATGCATGCCCTGTCACATCGCGGAGGTGCAGTCTGTGGCCCAATAAGAAGAAGGATGTCATGTTTGGATTTTTCCGTGGAGTATAACATCTTGGATTTGTGTTGTGGATTCTTTGCTTTTTTGTAGAATAAGGATGAGTATACTTCATGTTTTTAGAGGGTCTACATATTGTATGTTGAGTTATGTCGTCGCGGGCTGATTGATGGAGTTGGGGCTGGTGTATATAAGGGGGGCTTAGGGTTGCGAAATAGTACATTTCGGTTTGATTCCAGGTTTGTTAAGGACGGGCTTGGGGATTCAAGGTTGTCTGGAGACTGGGTTGATGCAGGGTTGGCTTGGGTGTTTCTAGTGCGGGTTTGTGGGGTTGGAGGGCAGGTTTGGGGTGGAGTTCGGCGACTTTCGGCGGGTGAAGCCGAGTGGTTGGCTATGGAATTGGGTGGATTCCGGGCATATGCTGGTCGGTTGAAGGCGGAGTGGGCCTGCTGTTAAGTTTGGCTTGGGATCGGGTCAAGTTTGTGGGTAGGCTGGGTTAGGATGCGGTTCAAGGTTGGGGCGGGTGTAGGGAGTGGTTTAGGGTTCAGGGTGTTCATTCGGCTGGCTTTGGGGGCTTCGGCTCTGGGATGCTTTGGTCCAAAGTGGAGGGTGTGAAGTGGAAAGCTGGCTGTGTGGGATTAGCACGGGGTGAAAGTGTTTCTTCACTTTGTCAGATGGCCCAAAAAAAGTAGCCACACTTTTCGTATGCCACTAAAATGGTCCGAACTCAAAAAGTGACTAAAGCGAGCAACTCAAACAGCGAGTTTAACCCCGTTGCCCAGGGAGCAACTGGCAGAAAAGAACTTGAAGCCAGGCGCTCCATATCTTGATGGAACGCCCCCCCCAATCAAGGCTTGGCCTAATCTCGGAGCCAAAACATGCCAAAACCAACAGGTTCAGATTCGTCAGATTTAGTCTACCCTAGGATGGATATATATATATATATATGTGCTTTTTGGGGGACCCCCAAAATGGCTTCGGATTTCCAGTAGTTAGTGCTTTAAAAAAAGAAGAAAACTACAACGGGGTCTCGGGTCTCGGGTGTCGGGTGTCGGGTGTTGGGGTTTCGGGTGGGTCTCGGGTCTCGGGTCGCGGGTCTCGGGTCTCGGGTCTCGCATCTCGGGTCTCGGGTCTCGGGTCTCGGATCTCGGGTCTCGGGGTCTCGGGTCTCGGGTCTCGGGTCTCGGGTCTCGGGTCTCGGGTCTCGGGTCGCGCTCGTTGTCAAGTGCGTTCTGGAAAGGTTTATGCATATATATATATACATGGAAAAAAAGAAAAACTACTCATGAGAAAGGGTGACTTACCACAGGGCCGAGTCTGAGGCTCGGCCCCTCGGCCCCTGAGCTACGCCGAGTGGCCATGGCGGCGCCCACGGTGGTGGCCAAGCCGGCGAGGCAGGTGAGGAGCAGGGCGAACCATGGGTCCCCCTACCCAAAGCACACGGATGGATGTGTTTCCGTTTTTCGTTGTTTTTTGGATCGTTGTTTTCCTCTTCTTTTTTGTTTCTTTTCGGCGAAAGGGATGGGAGGCTTCAAATGTGCCATGAATAGCCGGAATTGTTGTGGTCTCCACGGCACGGCGTGAGCAGTATCGGTGGTACCTGGGAGGATTTGAATTAACTTAACTTCAGTGGCCCGGCCAGGTCTCATGCTGTCCGAGTAGGCGCTACTCCATACCATTTCTAAAAAAAAAACGTGAATGAACTGGGGTTGATTGAGATGGGGTCCATTCTTTTGCGCCAAACGAATATATATATATATATATCTCACTGCGAAAAGGGAAGCGCCCCTGATCATTGTTCATCCCGGCATCATTTCACCCACATCTGACATTAGGGTTGTAGGAAAGCGATCCCAAACGGGGTCCCGAACTCTTGCGGTATAAGAGACTCGCACCTGCGACGACTTTAGGGATGCCCCCAACACGAAATCAAGAACCTTGAAAAACAGGGCAAGGGAAATGACAACTTTCTGTGATACAACAACTTCCCAAAGACTGACCCCCACAATGGCCGTTTTTCTTGTATCACGGAAGGGATAAACCCCTGGATCCCACAACCCTAGACGGATTTTACCGTCAACAAGGCAACCACGCAAAAAAGATTTGACATTTCAGCGACATGGGAAACGCTATATACCCATTGTCATGTTGGGGCCCCCCAGCTGTGCTTGTGCTTCTGGAAGACCCTTTTTAGCGTAAGTGTCTAAAGGGCATGAACTCAGGAAGTGAGGAAATTAATGCAAACCCAAAGGCAACACTTAATAAAAAGTCTGATGAATGGTGGCGAGTAATCAGATAGCACACCCAAGCGATAGCACATAATTGGCCATGGGTCAACACCCCGTACCCGCAGTGAACACCTTACTCCCCCCACCAAAATAGACTAAAATGGATGGTGCACCTAAAATGGTACCGTTGGTGCTGACCCACGGCCATTTGGAGATTTCAACCAGGAAATGGGTGGGCCACGATTTGGGGTCCACTGACTCAGGGGAAACGAGCAGGGCGAATGATCATCGAACTGAAACAAGCGAAAATCCTAGCGCATCAGGAAATAAACGCCATTTGGGTATGGGTCAAAATTAAACCACCACGGGACCGCAGGTTTTAGTCATTGTTTCCATTTACCAGGGTGCCATTTTGGGTACCCAATTTTGACCTGCAGCCATTTATATTCAACATGACAGTAACATGACAGTTTGCATTCGGAACACCAACTTTTCCAGCAGATCCAATTTATCCGACATCGGCTTGCTCTCAAAATTCACAAGCGAAATTAGGCTCCGATGCAAACGATGAATTCAACCAAGTGTCTAGTGAAGTGCAACATGGAATCTCTCTTCCCCATCCCACTCACTCCCCACATTGATCACAGTCCAGGAGGTAGCCAATATCTTCCACTGCCCCCTTCCCCAAACCAAACTACTGGATGGACGAAATCCTGCACCACCTAGGAAACCCTGGAGTGATGAATCCCCTGTAAATACCAAGAAACAGTGGTTTCAACCATGGTTGCCAAGTGGTGCGAAATGGATTCCGTCCATCCACAGTAGCTTTCGAGGTTGCTGCGACTCAACTAACATGACTCTCACTTCGAGCTACTCGAAGATCATAGACACCACCTTGCCAACAGAGCCAACCCTACCATGGAACCAACCGTGGGACCCCGGTCGAAACTTTAAACTCGATACCCCACCCCCAGTATTCGACCAGAACCTGGGAGTCTTGAACAGAAGGGTGCACCAAACAAGACATCTTCAGATTCTGCAAATATTGAGTCGACCCTGAGACATACCATATTCCTGGAGACCCCGAAGGTGATGAGGTTACAGAAAGGATGAGCCATGTTTGAAGCTTCTGGAAACCGCTCTCCTTGAGGTTTTTCTGTCCAGATGTTTGAGGCTTGGTGACTAGGTGATTTCAACTCTGCAACCCAGGGATCACAAGGTCCAGCAGTACAATGCCGGTCTCTCTTCGCTTTTTAAGAGTGGTTATATGGCTGTGGGTCAAAATTAAACCATTTGGGCACCACAGGTTTCAGTCTATGCTTCTTTTTTGCTAGGGGTTCGTTTTGGATACCTATTTTTGACCCACAGGAATGTGGAGAAAAAAGCAAAGTATGGTGCTCCTACGATCATGGGGCAATCTGGCTCAATAGCGGCAACCAATGTTGTAGCTATTTTGTGGCCCTGAATTGGGGAAAAGCGGGGCAATGTCTGTCTTCCCAGTCCCCGCCTGCTCAGAGGTCTGCAGGCGACGGTGCATTGTTAGAAAATAGTGACTGGCCCTGCGGCCAAGAAAGCGAAGCTGAGGGCTAAATGTCGCGGACGTGATCGCGCCTTTGACATATCTTCCCCCTGCTGCAAGAACAGAAGAAAAGAAAAGAACGCAGAGCGATGATAGAATTGTCGGCGAACCCACTAAGCAAAGAATAGGCTACCCTTGGGGCAGACTAGGCCAAGCTGAGACCTGTGTGTTGGGGATGGTGTTTCTGTGTGAATACTTTGCAAGCACCAGCCGCACACAGAAACAGTCCCGCCGCAGGAAAACCGCACCAAACTGAAAGGATCGGAGCCCATGTCGAAGGTTGCAAAGACCCTGTTCGATACATCTCTGCTCTTGGTAGGGTAGCGAAAAAAACTTTGTTTGTTGCAGACTCCCAGTAGAAATGAACAGAACCAAAAATCTAAAAAAACCAAAACACATGCCAAGAACAGTGAAGCCAACTATACAGTGTGACACATTGCGCTTACGCAGATTTGATCTAGGGCACCTGAACTGGACAAATCAATTGACGCCTGTTTCAAGTGCAAACCTCTTGGAGGGAGTCCTCGATTCCGGGGTGTTCCAAGTTTGGAATGCCGGGTCAACAAGACGAAACACGACTCTGTCCAGACCTCCAGTGTCCATGCATCACAATATCCTTCTTGTGTTGATTGATTTCGCAGGGCACCCCATTCAAGAGAGGGAGAGAGAGAAAAAAGACAAAAACAACTGGGACACCATGGGAGGTCTGGCTGGAGGTTCTCGTGCCCCCGCAGAAGAATCCGCCGCGTCCCGGACTCAAAAAAAGGCTGCGGGCATCCTTTCTCTTCCCCGCGGAGGTTCTTTGCCCTTTCGTCAGCAGCAAGCCGCCGACCGCCTGGCGACACTGGGGGCCCCGGGTCCCCGAAAGTGCAGCTGGTCTATAGGTCCTCCAGTAGAGAGGTTATAAGGGTACCCGAACTCTTTTCAGGAGGTCTCTTTTAGGGGAAGCCTCCCAACCAACAAAGGGGTGAGAAAGGGCACTACTGTAAAAACCTAGTTGTTGTTGCTGCTGCTCAGTGGGGAATGAGCATAGGAACCCTTTTTGGGCAACTAGCTGGCCCTGGTAGTTGATTGAACCACCAGGTAAACCAGGAATCGCCTTCTATTTTTAAACCAAATCAACCAAAAAGGACACCTCTAGGAAGGAGGGAATGAAGCTGGGGCCAAGGTCCCCTTAAAGGAAACCACCAGTTGGATGGTTTATAAGGGCCTAAGGGTCGTTCCCTCATTCCCTGCTAAGCACCAGCAAGTGTGATTGCTTGGTGGGATTTAGCCCCTTCCCCGAAAGTGAACGGTTCAAACGTCGGAAACTGGCTGAGCCCCAGTAGAACGAGGCACGTTAAAGGGATCCTCTTTGAGGCTTAACATTGGATTTAAGGGTCCACCCTGTGAACAGAAAAACATCCTGCGATGCCTTTCTTTGCTTAGCTTCAGTCAGCCTTATTAGGAAGGAAACCCAAGGCCCAGGCCCCTCCTCATTTGGCTCTAAGTTAAAACAGGTACCCCATTTTGGGTTGCCCTGGTCTATGGCTGTGGCACACCAAAAAAAAAAACGGAACTCCAACCTGGGCTGCCCTGGTGGAAACGTGGGTTACCCAAAACCCGCGGTCTGCCCCTCCGATCGTTTCATTTTGAGCCACGCCCAGTCCCAAGGCCCAACCCTTGAGCCGGCGCGCGACTCGAACCCAGAGGAACGGCGGGTGGCTCACTTTGCGCAACCGAAGGAACGGAGGGCGAGCCCCCGAAACCAAAAGCCCACCCCCGAAAAAAAAACAAAAAAAAACGCCCACTTAAAGGGGCAGTGTAGTGTACCTGGTAAGTGGTTAAAAAAGCCTAGTCATAACCCCACTTAGACGTAGAACCACAAGTGGGTTATAACCATTGCCCACTTACTAAGTACCCTGGCCCTGTAAGCAGAGAAGATCAAAGGCCGGCGGAAAGCCGCTTCTCTTCGGGCTTTCTATTGGACATGTCCCTACGCGAAACGGTTTTGGCTTTGGGCTCACGGTCAGGGGTTCAGCCAGGAGCTTACAGGGGCAGGGTACTTAGTAAGTGGGCAATAACCATGGTTATAACCCGCTTGCCATGATTCTACGTCTCCTAAGTGGGGTTATAACTAGGCTTACTAACCACTTACTAAGTACACTGCCTCTTTAAGTAGGTCAGGGATTCAGGCAGGAGCTTTGCAGGGATCCTTACATTCTACACCTGAACATAGCCTTGTAAATTGTGGTTTCCCTTGATTTCGGTGGAAAAAGCCACATGTTTCAGATGGTTGCAACATGGAGATCATTTTTTTCGGAGCCCTTAGAAGCCCTCTCCGTCGCATTTGGGACACCCCACCGACCCGACCTGACCCGAGCTCCCCCGCGGGATCCCAAGAATCCAACAAATACGTCTTACCTGCTTTGGGCCCCGACCTTTTGGGAAGCCAAACGGTCAGATTCGATGCGGTCGAAGGTGAGCTAAAGTCGGCCAGGTCTCATATGCCAGTTGGGCCAAACCAAATGGGTTGTTGAGGGAGGAATTGGTCGGGGTTCTCCATAGGATCCGGGGGTCGGGGCATTGGAGGATCCGGTCATGACCCTTAGTGATGGGGAGCGTTCATCTTTGTGTCTGCAGTGTCTGATATCTGGATTCCCTATGTCCCACAACAACATCTGGATAGGGGGCCCATGATCGGCCTCCGACGTTTCGATCCGGAAGCCTATCCAGCTATATGAGGCCAATGTAAACCGCCATCAAAAATCCCCATGGCTTCCCTTTGCTTTTTGCGCCACCTGGAAAAAAGAAGAGCATATGTTCAGTAGTGAATTCGATTCTCATTAAAAACCAAAAAGGGAAAAACAAATCGTCTTGAGCCAGATGGCTCTCCTTTTGGCTCTCACTCAGCGACTCTCTCTCGGCAAGACTTGCCCGGCACACGACGACTTGGCCTGGCGCGTCTGTGAAATCGACTTGATGCTTCGCTTTTGGCCCGACTTGACCGGGGAATGCCCAGGAGGAGTCGACTTTGTTTTGTTAAAAAAGGCTCCTCGCCGGCTGTTGGACGCCTTTGCTTTGTCGGATCCCCCTTGTTTTGTCCGAGAGCTCGGAAATGCCGGTGGAGTCTAGCCGAGCTGCCAAAGGGGTCTTACTCAAAAGACAACAAACAGGTTTGTGAGCTTTACTACCTCAGCTTGGGCCCCTCAACGTCCATTTGCTTTCTTGCCCCCTGGAAAAAAGGAGATCGATTCCCTTTAAGACCGACAATGGAAAAGAACAACCATATTCATTTCAACAAATGGAAGTCAACCAAACATCATACCTTTGATTCTGGTGAAACCTGAGATACGTGAAAGAGCGAGTGGGTGCCAGAAAAATGAATGAGTCCTTCACCAGCTGAAGTGCCCTGAAACAAAAACAGCAGTGATAGATTCCCTTTGAAACCGGAGAAAACATGACACACATGTTTAAGCAACTGGAATGAGACCCTACTATCTTTCCAACGGAAGCTTGGTGATGCTTGGTGTTTGGAATAATATTGCCTTGATCAATTCCGTACGCAATGTCTGCTAAACAGGGCACCTGGATTGGGTGTTGCAAAGCGTTGCTTTCTACAAGCTCATGTCAGTGCGTCCCACATTGGCATGGGATTTTGGTGAACAACCCGAGTTGGGTAGTGATTGGGTGAGAGCGCCGCATACCATGCCCTTTGCTGGATGCCTTCAAACATGCAGTCGGTTTTCCTCATGCTTGGGTGTATGTACATATATATATATATATACATATACACATGCGCCATGATCAAAACTCCTTCTGTGTTTGGGCTATAGTCATGGTTTCCTGAATAAGAATCTTTATCATGCTTGAGTTCCTTCTCAGGGCTTCATGACCATCCTTTACCCCGAGACACGCTTTTTGACCAAGCTACATACTGTTGATGGACAAATTCCTGCCAGCAGTTCTGGGCTGTCCTCGGATCCCCCCTGCTAAAAGGTTAACTGTTGGTGGGTTTAACGGAAACCCCCACTAAACTCTAAAAAGCTAAATGGCTAAGGGGATGGCTGGGAGCCACCAAGAGTTAGTTGCACTGTTTCATCCATCTGAGATATTTGTGAAATTTTGTCCATCCACGGAATGACATCATACAAGGCTCACAGCACACCGGCCGGCGGCATGATGCGGGCGACTAAAAGACGATCGCCTGTTGGGACCATGGAAATCTGAAATGTTCAAAAATGGTAGTAAGTGAGTCAATACGGATGATTGCAGAAGGTATGAATGTATGTATTTATTTGTGCATTCAATCAGGTATGGACTTACATACGCACACAAGTAATAGGTAGGTATGCAAGTAGACAGGCAATACACAGGCCCGCCAAAAGTTGCGTTTTTGGAAGGTCAGCACAGTTACAGCCCTCCCCGAATGCTACAAGATGAAACTTGCGGCGGTCTAATTTTGACCCGGGATGCCTTTCACTAGCGTAGATTTAAAGCGGTCTGATACTTGACAGTCCCACGCCTGCAACACAGATGTCACTTTGTTCATTCGATCCAGGGTTGACCAAATCGCGGCGTTCGACGAGATAACGCAGTATGTAAATACGAAGAGCGTGTATCCATATATACATATACATATATGTAGTGTATTTTACATAAGGAGTATGTATTCCAGAGTACGATCAGGCCTTGTGCAATTGGCATCACTGTGTTGATTTTTCCCAGATCCTCCGACCTGCTTATCTGATCCTTGGCGTGTGTTGATTTATAGGTCCAAGAAACAAGTTAAGGGTCGAACGACAAAAGTCAGCATTGGAACATGAGGAAACCCGAAACAGCAAACGGGGGGAATTCGACCTAGCAACGGGAACTTTAACGGTCACCTGATTGAGCTACACAACAAAAAAAAAAGCAAAATAGAACTCAACTGGCAAGACGCCAACGCTGGCGGTAGCTCTCATGTCCGTCCGAGCCTTCTTCGTAGAGACCTGCAGCAAGCTTCCAGGTTGTTTGAGCGCAAATTGTTCAACTTGCGCTGCACGGGCTACTAAGCCAAGACGCCAATGCCAGGGGCCAACAATGCCCTCCGTTTGCTTAAGTCGCCTCGAAAAACTTTAAAACAAAAATCCAGTAGTGATGGATTCCCTTTGAAACCAACAGGGGAACACTAAAAAAAGTATTCTTAACCAAATGGAAGATGCTTCGTGGCGCTAAGCAGGGCCTAAGAGTGGCTTGAGCTCCGCACATTCAAAAAAAAAAGCACTGCCAAAATGGGTTGCCCTGGTAAGTGGAAACATGGACCAAAACCTGCGTAACCTTTGCTCTTTAATTTTGAGACACTGCCATTTGGTGCCGAGGGTAGAAAGCATGAAGCAGGAGGCTGCTCATTCCCTGAGCACAAGCACTTGGGTATGGTCAAAATTAAAACGCCAGGGACTTCAGGTTTTAGTCCTTGGTTTCATCTACCAGGGCAACCCATTTTGGGTACCCGCCATGTCTCCTTACATAAGGCTAAACCCCATGATTATCATGGGCGTGGTGCTGGTCCTGGTGCTATTGATGTGGCTGCTCGTGTTGCTGGTGGACTCACTTCCTGAGAGGATGGGCCAAAAAAGTCCAAACTTTCCAGTTACCACTAGCATGATCTTTCCAAGAAGTATAAAGTCCAGGAACTCAGGAAGTGAGTGGCCTTTCTGTTGGCGTTGGAGTTGTTGTTGCTAGTGGCGGCCCTTTTTTTGCGGCCCTCAGAAAGCGGACCAGGCAACTAGGCCCCCAGCCGGCGCCTTCGAAGATGTCTTGTAAGGTGCCGGGGCTGCAGCCCTGGCACAGCTTGGCCATGCCGGCTTCTGGGACTCAGCCGTGGTACCACGGTATGGGTAGTCGCAGCTGGGTGTGACTTGTCTTGAGGGTTTTGGGAGCTTTTAAGGGACAGCCGGAACACCACGATTTTGGGGGGTCTCTTACAAAAAGACGGACATGTATCCACCTGCCGATAGCGGTCATCTCCGATGTCTTTGGGTGTGGCCTCCAAGGAGCTGGGCTATCCCCTTGTGAGACTTGGCGCTGGGCGCCTTGTCAGCCCACCGGCAGGTTCCCCGCAAACGATTGATGGGACCGCTTGCTCTGATCCGAGCTCCCTTTGTCGGCCATGCTCATGGATCCCTCATGCGAAGTTCTACCAAGCCCAAATCAAAGGGTGTTTTGACTATGACAAGAGGTGGCGGGATACAGGAAGGTGGGGGGTCGTTCCTGAGAAACACCAGGGATTTCATCATGTTGCAGGCATGGAACCATTAATGTCGTCTTTACACGCCACAAACCCAAGGAAATGCAGAGCAAGGCTCCTGGCGCTCTATAGCCGCCACTCCTATGGTGCTCTGACTCACGTCCTGCCCTGGCACCAGAAGAAAGTCTCAGGAAGCCATACTACGCATGAAAGGAACATCTCAGAAAGAGTTGTTCCCAATACCAACCGTGAAAAGAAAGTCTGGAAGAGTAGTCCAACATGAAGGAACACCTCAGGAGGACCAGTCAAGACACACCATGGCAGCAAGATACAAATGACTCTTTCGGGGCAAAGGAGGCCCACTCAGTCAAGAAAAAGGCGCCCGGGAAACGTGTCTCAAATTCCAAACTTGGAGCCGCAAGTCCTTTTTGGCTTCCTTCCCCCAAGTCATCAAACAAAAACACCCAAAGAAACTGCTACCGCTGCTACCAACCGAAGAAGAAAAAACAAACAAACAAAAACGCTTGTGAAGAGGCCTCCGGGCTTTGAGACCTAGAGCCCAACCCCTTGCTACCGCGGATAAAACCGCCATCGCTTATAAGCTCTCTTCTTTTGGCGTTTTCAGGGGAACCGGGGTTTGGTTTCTCTTCTTTTGGCGTTTTCAAGGGAACTGGGGTTTGGTTTCTCTTCTTTTGGCGTTTTCAGAAAAGAACTGGGGTTTGGTTTGTATACACAGATTTTCGCACTGCCCTTCACTCTTGCCCCCTCCCCTCCCGAACAAAAAGTTTTCGAAAAAGAACCGGGATATGGGTTGTTTACACAGATTTCCCCACGGCCTTTCACTCTTGCCCCCTCAACAAAAACATCAGCCGGCCAACCACCGGCGGCTCGTTTCGGCCGAAAAAAAACACGGCGCCTCGGCACGCTTCTCAAAGCCTCGGACCTCAAGGCTTGGCTTCCCAAACACTCGAGGATTTGATTCCTTGCCCATGCTTTTCAGCCATCGTTCCTTCCATTTGGTTTTCTGACCCCGGGAAAAAGAAAAAAGTATGGCCAGCAGTGATAAATTCCTTCTAAAACCAACAAGGGAAATATGTTTTATTAAAAATAAACACACGAAACTTAAGCAAATGGAAGGTTCTTTTAAAAAACCTGATCCGTTTCCCAACTGGGTTTTTGATGGTTTCCTGAAAAGATTCGAATCCCTGGAAAGAATGGAATTGGAAGGTACCCTAGAAACACTGTCCGACTGAAATTGTTCTTGGTCACACATCCCGTGATAAGTGTGCCAGTCTGAAACCTGCCAGGGCATGCGGGGCAACACGCACCATCTCCTGATTGGGTTTATATGCCTGTGTATATATATATACATAATATTGGGTATCTTTTTTGAGGGTACTGCTTTGTTGTGGATTTCAAGGGAACGCAAAGAAAAAACACCTTTTTGGGAGTCATGTTAGATAGCGATTAATAAAGGGGCGTGAATACAGAAAAAAAACTCAAAATTATTCACTCCCCCGAAAAGCAAAAAGGGTAGGTAGTACAGAAAAACAATCTGCCCGAAATCCCGAAAATATGTTCCCTTCCAAGAATGGGCTATTTTTGAGGGTTGAAACGTTTGAGTCCAGCCAGAAATGTCCAGAATCTCTGGATTGCTTCCTGTCCCAAACCACCAAATTCCTTATCAATCCCTTTACTAGAAGATGCACCCTGACAAATTTTCAAGGGGGTGGCGCACGGAACCCCCAGGAAGGCAATCATGCAGTTTGTCTAAGGGTAGGGAATTGTGAAAAAAAATGGCCAGAGCAGCCTGGCAAGAAGAAGAACCAATACAAAACCAATTCTAAATTGTAGTGAGTCAACTGAAAAGAATACTGAACTAATACTAAACCAATTCTGAACCGTAGTGAGCCAGCTCAAAGGAATACTATACCAACACGACACCAATTCAAAACAATACTTACTGGAAGACTACACAGGCAGGTCCCAGTCTGACCCCCATTTTGTTTTTGGGGTTTTCGCTATTGATCCCCCCCAATTCGTTTGAGGGGGGGGGCCCTTTATTAATCACTCTCCAACATTACCCTAAAACAAGACACCCATCTATTTTGTGCATCTGTACATGCATATATATATATGCATAGATGTATACATATGACCTGTTTGCGGGCTCCTGTCATAGGACTGTCAGGGGCCCTTCGGGGTCCAACTCAATTCCCTGTTTGTGTTTGGACCCCGAGAAGTTTCCCAATCCTAATGCGTACTCCATGGGATACCGTCTGCCAGGATTGTGGAACCTTGAAGGTCCAACCGAATGCGGCAAGTGGTTCCTTCCGGTCATCAACCCCTTGAAGAAAATACTTGACGTTGTCTAAGCTTGCAAGGTTTAGGACAATTCCTACCCTCCCTCCCACTAGCATGGCATCTGAGAGGCCCATGTTTAGATGAACCTGATCTTCCAGGCACTGCATCCAGGTGCCAACTCTGTGTGGGAGGAGGGTAATATACCCCCCGCACAAATCACATTCCAGTCATTTCCTCAACCCCGTCCAGTCGGTTTATGACAATCCCTCCACAAAAACGTCCCCAACCCCACCCAGTCGGGTGACTTCAGATCGCCGCCTTTTCCACTCCTCTGCGGTCTCTACGCCATCTCTGGGAATCGCCGCGGCCAGGCGTTTTCCCCCGGGCTTTGATCCACTCTTGGTGCGAACAAAGCTGACAACTGGGCTTCCTTCGATCCCCCGCTAAAGTCCAGGACACTACCAACCATTGGGCAACTGGGCAATTTTGCTGCCTAACTGTACTTTAAGTGGCGTGGAAACCATTGCCATCAGCAAAATCCCACTGCTCCAATGCCTAAAGTTAAGCATCCCAAAGTAAACGATATTCTGTCCAACCATGGTGAGCTCGTCTTCAGCTCGCCTGAACATCAGGTAGCATTCCCGATCCAGTTGCCAAGATCTCGTCTTCGGGTGAAACGCGAAGCGAGGCTGCCCCTTTGCTCCCGCAACGAGATGTTCGGAAACGTAGCTGGCCGAGGTGTTAAAAAAGAAACAAAGGAAATACCCAACAAAAAAAGCACAAACAAAAAGCAACATGAAAAAGGCAAGCTAGGTGTGGCAATGTTTCTCTTTACCGGCGTGTTGCAACACCCCACGTGTCTAAACTCACTTCCTGAGTGGATTGGACAAGTCCAAACGGGCTTCTTTACCACTAAACAGGTTTTGCCAAACAAGTACTTTAAGCCCAGAAACCCCGGAAGTGCGAGAAGGGTCAATTGGATGATGGATATGTAGCCAAAACGGTCTTGCATCTGGGGAGATTGTTTTGTGGTCGGGTAGCACGACCCGAGACATAGTTGTGAGTCATGTCGAGCTTGTGCCACTACTTTGTCAGATGTTCCTGGTCAATCGGGTACGCAGCATGGCGTGTTATAACAGAAAATATGTGCAAACCATCTGGGTAAACCTTAGTCTACTTGACACGTTGAACATGTTCGGACTCCCGGTGAAAGGAGGATTCAAGGATCACACATCACCTTGGTCGCGAGTTAATAGGCCCCAGCGGTGAGTCACATGCGGGGTTCAACTTGTTCGCTTCCTTCAAACTTGAGGAATCAACCTTACCCAGGGTTGCTCGCAAGCACCGATCGGCACAAAGGTGAATCCAAGGAGGGTGGCAAAAACATGATGTTTCAGACGCTCAACAAGGGAACCAACAAAATGAAGGTGGTTGAAACAGGACGAGCCTGGTGCCAAAACCAGGGCGAAAAGGGGCACTAAGCAACTATGAGATGAAGGGCCCCGCCCTTCAAGCACTCACCTGCCCTTCTGGACCGTCTCGCAGCACTCGTGCTTGGCACAATGCTTGCTCTTCCTGCACCTCAGCTGGAAAAAAAAGAAACGACTCAGCGTCCCAGCACAATTCCAAGGAAAACCACGCAACTTGGTTGAGGTTGGAAGGGGAGCAATAATTGAAACAAATTAGCAGTTAAGTTGGGTTTTCCTACTAAACCACAATAAGCAAACATGTAAAATGCTTCCCAACAACAACCATCAAAGGGTGTTGATCTTGCAAGCTGGGCGGGCATGCACTATCATGAATCAACATCACCGGCGGCATCTGCAGCACGCAGCAAACGCGCTAACCAATCACCATAGCCGGAGACAGTTGGCAATTGTTTGTTAGCACAGCGCAGGCCCCAAGAGGTCAACCCCATTCCACTGATTTGCAAAGAGAGAAAACCAAACCCAAGGTGCAGACCCAGCGGCTTCCGACGTGCCACAAGAAATGACCATACATGCAGAAGATGCGTGAACGTCCCGCAATCAAAAGCAGCACCCATCAGCACCCACAGGACTGTGTCCCCCTGACAGCGCCCGACTTTTTACAGTAACAAGGTCTCTTGAACTTTCCGTCATTCAACAGGTCCTGTAAGGGACTCGTTACATCCCAGCGAGCCACAAATAGGCAAATTAATGGCGCTACGATTCGAACCAACTGACACCAGTCCCATCCATTTTACACCAAACTGCACTCAAAGAACATCTGGGCAGTTCACTGTTGGTTGCACCAAGCTTGCCAAACTATGAGCCACACATTGCCCTACGTTGCCCCACTTTCCAGTCATAAACACCATAGCCACCCACCGAGGTCCAGGTTGGTATGTTCCACAGTGAAAGCGTTTTGTCCAGTGCTGACTGTAAAGAAAGGATAATGAACAAACACCTTTTGGGGATACGCACATCCGATTGTTTCCAGGTCCACTGAAGACCGTCGCTAGCCGCCATGTTTCTTGGACAGACGGATCCTGCAAAAATCAAAGCTTTGTTGCTTGGTCGCTGTTGACTTCTCTGCGCAAAGCTTAACTTGTGGGTCCAAATGGCAAATCCACTGTTTCCTAAAAACTTAAAGTTCAAAGATGCAACCAAATACCCATAAAGATTGTTGCAAGGGGCAAACTCAAGAAAATCCGAAAGGGCAAAAAGGCTCATCTTCCATCTGGTTAACGCCCCAGGAAAAAATACAACATAGGTCCAGTAGTGATGAAGTCCTTTTAAACCCAACAAGGGAAAATAAAACATATTCTTAAGCAAATGGAGGTCATTCAGTCTGGCCATGTTGTTTTTGAGGTTAACAAACCTCGCTTGCCCCTCGCACGTCCGTCTACTCTGCCACGGGGCGGGACTGCTGCTGTGGCGTTCCTTTGTGCACGTGCGAAAAGGGGCCACGTCCAGGCACAGGGTTCCCTTGGGTCCGCAAATCACCAAATGGCTGTGGGTCAACAAAGTGTACCCAAAATGGAAACATGGTAAGTGGAAACATGGATTAAGCCCTGCGGTCCCCTGGTGGTTTAATTTTGACCCATACCCAAATGAGTGCTACCTTCCATTTCCATTCTTTCCAGGGATCCGAATCTTTCTATAGAACCTCCGGAAACCAAGGGAAACGGATCCGGTTTTCGAAAAGAACCATGGTTGGAAAGAATGGTTGGAATCAACGCTTAGGAAAGCGGGTTCCCTTGGGTCCGCAAATCACCAAATGGCGAAATGCGGCCTTCCAATTGCTCAAGCCCCCTGGAAAAAAATGAGAAAATGTTTCCATTAGTGAAATCGATTCCCTTTAAAACCAACAAGGGAAACTTAAAATCATATTCATAGGTGAGCCATTTCAGGGTCTACAAAAGGACAGACCGATATGAACACTCCGAACCTCATGTTCCTTTCCGCGTGGACGCGATCTTTGTGTCATGCACAGTGAAGCAGTGAGTCACAATGGAAGCCCCAGTGTGTTTGTTTAAAAATCTCTCAGACACGTAACCCACAAAACGACGGACTTCTACTTCGGGCTGCGAATGTTCCATACTCAACCAGAACGCATTGACACAGGTGCAAAGCCATCGTGCTGCTCAAGACTCTTTGGCCCACGGTGGTTCTTTTA